CAAACCTCCAGAAAACTGTAAAAGTGTGGAAAGCCTGAGTTCCTTTAAATCAAAACTAAAAACACATTTGTTTAGGATATCCTTCGACTGTTCCAGTTAAACAGTTCAACAAAAACATCATTAGTTCATCATCATTAGTTGCTTTTTTATTTTCTTTAGTCCTACTGTTTTTAATGTTCTTTTTTATTTCAGCATTTTTATTTACATTTTTTTGTCCTACTTGCTTTGATTCTGTTTTATTTTCCTATATTTTAATCATGTAAAGCACTTTGCATCGTCTTTGTACTGAATTGTGCTATAGAAATAAATTTGCGTTGCCTTTTGCCTAAAGTGATGTCATTAATATACAAAAGAAAAAGTAAAGGTCCAAAAACCGAACCTTGTAGTTGTTACGATTCCAGTTTGTGTACCAGATGGTGCCCTGTTCTGGTTGGGCCTCCTTGCACACCTGCGGCTTGTTGGGTCTTTACCAGAGGAGTATTTGAGCAGCGGGCTGTCACTACCTCGACGCCAGAGTGTTTGCCAGTATTGGGTAGTCTAGCCAAACTGAGATTAGCACAGTCTAACCTTAGCCTTTTCTCTCTTGGTTATTCCTTGTCCCAAGGAATAACCAAGAGCTCTCCAACCATGAGTGCCTCTCAAGCAATATACTAGTCCCTGTCTTTTTTCCCATGGTCCCTGAACTGATCATTCTGATCTCCCCTACAGAGTTTCCAGTTCTGGTTCACCAGTCCGCTGAGGTCCAACAGTATTACCCAGCAGAATATCTCTCTCCATCTGTGTTTTGCTAACCCTCAATAAACCAGTTAACTTTTACCCTTGGTCTCTGAGTGGTTATCTGGATGTGGGTCAGATCTTTAAAGTCCATTATGACAGTAGTACTCCCCAACTAATGTGGTATATAGCAGATGTTTTATTATTTACATCTACAAATTGTTTTCAGTCCTTCAGGTAACTTTTCACACACTCATATACCACTCCTCTGATTCCATATTTAATGAAAACTAAGATTTTTCAGAAAACCAGCCCAAATAAACTTGGTTTCACAAAAGCAGTTACACATTCATTACCACTGTAATTAATTATGTGCAGTTAGCCAGCACCAGGCAGGCTCACTCATACCTTGGAGCCATATATGTTTAGTCAGAAAGTGACACAGATAAAAAAGCAATGACTTCTTCTTTGGATCATAGGTGGGTGGAGCAAACATTATAGATATAGTTCTGGGAATAACCAGTGTTGTTTTTAGCAGCCATCTTAGTTTTAATCTTATGCTGTGTCTCACTTCTCAAGAACGCGAGGACGGACTCGCGTCCTCACCAAGTAACACAGAAGAAGAACACAGGAAAGTCTGGACTCCGGGAGAACAGGGGCACGCAGCATAAATATATGTCAATAGGAACAGAAGCGTACTGATGACATCACCACACACTCAGCTCATCTGTAGCTGAATTTAACCTCCCGTTACTAATAGTCTCTAGATAACAATACATTCTTTATTCATTTAGTGGGGGAATAATAATAAACACAGTCAGATAAACTCGCCATCGGAGCCAGTGGTCCTTTACACACGGCTATGCAGAGAGAGGGCTGCCCATATTGGGTGGCAGCCTTAGGCAGTATTGACAGTGA